AGGTCAAAGTGGGTGAATCACCTGAGGTCAGGAATTAGAGACCAACCTGGACAACATGATGAAACCCCATCTCTACTAAAAATATAAAAATCAGCCAGTTGTGGTGGCGGGCTCTTGTAGTCCCAGCTGCTCGGAGGCTGAGGAAGGAGGTTGAACCCAGGAGGTGGAGGTTGCAGTGAGCCGAGATCACGCCACTACACGCCAGCCTGGAAGACAGACTAAGACTCTGTCTATAAAAAAATAAAAATAATATGAAACAGGGCGGGCACAGTGGCACACGCCTGTAATCCCAGCACTTTGGGAGGCCGAGGCAGGTGGATCACTTGAAGTCAGGAGTTTGAGACCAGCCTGGCCAACATGGTGAAACCCTGTCTTTACTAAAAATATAAAAAGGAGCCAGGTGTGGTGGCGGGTGCCTGTAATCCCAGCTATTCAGGAGGCTGAGGGAGGAGAATTGTTTGAACCCAGGAGGCGGAGGTTGCAGTGAGCCCAGAAGGCACCACAGAACTCCAGCCTGGGAAACAGACTCCATTTCAAAATAAATAAATAAATAAAATAAAACAAAAAAAATCCTGCTGAGCAGAATGAAATGAGGTGAGAACCTCAAGAAGACCCAGGCCCTCCAGACGACCAGACACCCTCACCAACACTGGTCCTCCCTCTCGGGCGGCACTGCAGCAGCGTCTCTCACCTCCCCTTGTTTCCTTCTGTGAAATGAGGCACCCAAGCTCGGCCCTGGGCCCCACTGCTGCCCATGTACACGTCGCTGGCCCTACCCACCGGCAGTAGCCCACCAATCTCCACGCCCAAACCCCACGTGCACCCCGGCCTCCCCGCCCACGCCGGCCCCACTCACTTTGAGCTTGGACTGTTGCTCCAGCTGCAGTGTCTGCTCCTGCATCTGTGCCAGATTCAGGGCATCCTTGGCATAACCTGTGGATGCAGGGGCACGGAGGGCAGGTGTTAGGATACCCGGATGCCACTGGGCAGGCATGCACATCAGCCAAGGGGCTTTCTGGAATCCACGGCCACACCTCGACCTCAAAGCCCCCAGCCCTGCCTCACCATCCTCCTTCCCAGTCAGACCTGGCATGACGATGCCCCGTCCCCAGCACATGGGCTGATGCATTTGTGGGGTTTTATCCCCCAGGGACGGTCTTGGAGGGTCACATCGGGAAGGCCATCCCACATGGACGGGAGGAAGCTATTTCCCAATTCAACAGAAAGTCAGGCGATGGCTAAAGGGTCCTCTATTTTTTCACGTTACAAACGCTTCTCTTAAGCTTCCAATGGCTATTGTCATTGATCTGCCATCAGGCATGTGCAGGCAAGAAAGAGAATGAATAAGAACAGGATACCAGCCAACACGCTCAGGGTGACGAGGGCAAACGTATGACAACGTCCCCAGTTACATTTTGTTCCTGGTGGGGAACTGACAGGTTGACGTTTGGGTGTTCTGGGACAGAAGTACGTATTCTCCGAGCTGCTGAGGCCTAAGCATCAGGTCTCAAAATTTTCTGGGATGACAGTTTTCCCATCACAAAATTTTACCATAAAAATCTTCTGGTCAAGCACGGTGGCTCACTCCTGTAATCCCAGCACTTTGAGAGGCTGAGGCGGGTGGATCACTTGAGGCCAGGAGTTAGAGACCAACCTGACCAATGTGGTGAAACCCCATTTCTACCAAATATACAAAAATCAGCCGGATGCAGTGGCGCACGCCTGTAATCCCAGCTACTCTGAGGCTGAGGTGGGAGGATGGCTTGAACCCCAGAGGCAGAGGCTGCAGTGAACCCAGATCATGCCACTACACTCCAGCTGGATAGAGAGAGACTTAAAGAAACAAATCTCCAGGCTGGCCAACATGGCGAACCTCGTCTCTACTAAAAAGACACAAAAAGAGCAGGGCACAATGGTACACGCCTATGACCTCAGCTACTTGGGAGGCCGAGGCTGGAGAATTGCTTGAACCCAGGAGGTGGATGTTGCGATGAACCGAGGTTGCGCCAATGCACTCCAGCCTGGGCAACAGAGCGCAGCTCCATCTCAAATAAGTAAATAAATAAATACATCTTCTAACACAGAAAAACACGTCCGTAAAGCCGGCAGGGACCCCTGATGTTCCTGGGCTGGGGCTTTGTTCCCGTCTCTCTGCCTCCTGCAGGCCGTCTCACTTTTTGAAGCCTTCAGAGTCAACTGCAGCAAACACATCACTACCTAGAGCTCGACGTTTGTTCTCAGCTCAGGTGTAATTTTTGGAGGTGACTGACACAGGCGTGAAGCACCGTGGGGAGCACTCATTGCATTTAGACAGAGGCAGCGATGCACTGGCGTGTGGGGTGGCTCTGCTTGGGCCTGTGGTTAGGCACGAACTGGCCTGACGGGCATCAGCGTCAGATTCCAGGAAAGAGCTTGGAGGCCAACCTCAGGGGCCCCAGTGACCACAGCACAGATGGGACAGGGACCTGCCTCTCAGGGAAGACAGTGCCAGGTCAATGGGTTTGGCTGGTGAGCTCAGGAAGCCAAGGGCTGAAGGGCCCCGGGGCCCTCACCCACTCTCACTCTGACCTGGAGGGGGCCGAGGGTGTGTCAGCCCCCCGGGGTCTTGCCACAGAGCAGTGACAGGAACGTGGGCATCACAGTGAGGCGCTCTGCCTACCTCCTCCCGAGAGGACCTTTGGCTGGATTAAGCTGACGCCACTCCCTCCCCTGAAAATGGCTCATTGACAGTTCCCACCCCCAGTGACTCTGGGGAGGATGAGAGGGGAAAGAGCAGGTCTGGGGCTCGTGTGGCCTCTCGTTATTAGAATGAGAACAATCATTCACCACCTTGGGGTGACCCTGTGCCAGGACGTGCTCCCAGCGCATGGATTCACACCCACTGGGCACGAGGGTCTCCTCCAGGCACCCCTCTGTGGAGGGCAGGGCGAGCGCTGGCGCTCACACAAACAGTTCTGGGACAATGTGCTGCTCTGGCTTCCAAGGACAGGCCGCAGGAGGGGTCAGGGAAGACCCTGGGAACGAGGCAGCATGGGGCTTTGCCTCCAGGGACAGAGGAGGCAGCCAGGCTGTGAGGAGGAGCCGCCCGTTTGCCCGGAGAGCAGCAAGGCCAAAGCAACGGGCTCCAGCCGAATCTCGGCGACCCTGCTGCCAGGAAAGGGGCACACAGGAAGCCAGGAGAGGACGGGCTTGCAGAGGGACTACCAGGCAGATGGGCACGGCAGGGAGCACTCGGGGAAAAAGAGGTCCAGGACGGAAAGGGAGCGGCAAACTTTGGAGAAACCTCTCTCACCAGCCAGCAGTCAGGCCAGGAAGGAGGGAAGGGATAAAAATGAAAGAATGAAAGAGTCCACACCTGGAACAGAATCCACAGGAAACAAAGACTGATGGAGGGCTCCCCACGGTGCACCTGGCAGGCCCCGCTCGACCACAGAGGGCAGGCCAAGGCACTGGCAACCCAGGCAGAGCAGACTGCAGATCAGGGGCTCTGGGGCTGCCAGGACTGGAGCAACTCAGAGGCACAGGTCTGCACCATGGGGAGGAGGTCCTCGGCGGCCTGAGGCTGCTCAATCAGGCCTGTACCACTGATAACTAAGATTCAGCTTCTCGAAGTGGGACAAGTTTCGATCTCTAAGTGAAGTCAGCAGGTGAAAACCCCCAGGCATTAGGACAGAAAGGAACCCTCCAAATGAGCCTACAGCAAGAAAGTCCGTCACCAAAGTCCGCTGTCCTCCGAGGTGCCCTGAAGTCCAGCCCTTGATTCCCATCCTAATCTGATCATTAAAATTACCCAGCAAGGCCATGAGCAGCGGCTCAGGCCTGTAATCCCAGCGCTTTGCGAGGCCGAGGTGGGCGAATCACCTGAGGCCAGAATTCAAGACCAGCCTGGCCAACATGGTGAGTGCTCACACCTGGGGGCACTGGGTCAGGGATTTCCTCAAGTTGGGCAGCACACGGCCTGACCTGCGGTTCACAGACCTCGCCGTGCAAACGCTAACGTCTTCCAACAAGAACTGCAAATCTGCTAGACTCTTGTTAGAACCAAGTAACTCTCAAATATGCTTTCCTCGTTATGTGGCAATTGCTAGCAACCACCCAACAAACCCATCTACCGACATGGCCACGCCTCGGCCTGCGCCACGTGGAGGCAGCAAGCGCAGAAAGATCCCACGCACTCGGTGGTAACTGAAAGAGCAGGGCCAGCCCCAGGCCCTGACCCTGTAACCCGTGAGCGCCACCTCCGCACCTGACCCGCTCTTGACAGCTGCAGAGGTGCAAAAGGGTGACGGAAAGAGTCCGATCCTCCCGGCACGCGA